GCCCAGTCTTAATCCCTTTGGTCATCAGTCTTCCCTCTCTGTCACTGGATTTCTTGAGTTCAGCTCAGTGCTTAGCTGTGAGAGTCTGCCTTTGCTTCCATCAGCCACTGAATGAAGGTTCTGTTTCCCAGACTCTCTGGCCATGGGATTTGTAGGCTGGCACTCCCCAGATCTATGTCTAAATTCCATATATGAGAGAGCACATGCCATGTTTCTCTTTTTGTGACTGCGTTACCTCACTCAGAATGGTTTCTGTTCATAGCAGCATTATTTGTAATAGTCAGAACTTGGAAGCATCCTAGATGCCTCTCAACCAAAGAGTGGCTAGAGAAAATGTGGTACATTTACACAATGGAGTACTATTCAGCAGAAAAAACAATGGAATCCTGAGATTTGCAGGCAGATGGATGATACTTTTGTAATTTTAAGGAAATAATTTTAAATTTGCCTAGAAATTTATGGTGTCACAAGGTGTTAATCTCAGTATGATTTTTTAATTTAAATTAGGAATAAGCTTGTTTCACATCTCAATCCCAGCTCCTCCCTCCCCTCTTCCCCTGCCACTGTAGGTCTATTTAAATTGCTTATCTGCTCTTAATTTCATTCTGGTAATTTCTATTTACCCAGAAAATTGGTCATTTCCTTTAGATTTTTTAATTTTGAGGGGTACAGCTTTTCAAAGTATGACCTGATGATTCTCTGGATTTCCCCAGTGTCCGTTGTTTGTCGTCCTTTTCATTTCTGATTTTGTTCAGTAGCATGAAAAAACACTATAATAATAAAATTATAATAAAATTGTCAGGAGTCAAATAAAAAAGAAAGTTTTAAACATGGCAAGTGACCCTAACAACACAATAAACATATTTCTCAGGCTAGGGAGACATCATCTAATGTATTAAAAATGCTGAAAGAAAAAGAGCACTGCCAGCCAAAACTATTCTAGTCCAAAAGCCATTTGGTGAAAGTAAATGTATTAGAGAGGAATACAGAATGCCACAATACTGAAAAGAGGTGTGCATCCACTTGGCCGGCTTTATTGCTCTAAAAAGTACATAGTTTCAGTGTTTCAGTTACCCACAGGACCAGATGGTTCCTAGTCTCCAATCTACTACTGATATCTTTCTAGCACATTCCTGATTTAAATTATAGTTAAGCAAATAATTTTGCTATTGTAATTTCCTCTGGACCACCAGATACTTCTATATAGTGTGTCATATGTGATATATTACATACAAGTACATATTTGTACATAGCCTATTACTTGGTCTCTCTCTCTCTCTCTCTCTCTCTCTCTCTCTCTCTCTCTCTCTGTGTGTGTGTGTGTGTGTGTGTGTGTGTGTGTGTGTGTGTGTGTGTGTGTGTATGTTACAAGCATAGATCAAGTAGTGGGCTAGATGGTGGGTCATATCTTTTGATACGTTTAAAACATTGTTTTGAAAGAATGGAGCTAAGAAGAGCAAGAAGAAAAACTCTCATGTATGAAGAGGATTACTGCTGTCCTATTTCTGCATCACTATATTTAATGCTTTTATTGGGGAGCAGAAGAGGTAACTTATCAAGTCAAGGTGCTTGCTGCCTAGACTGACATCCTGTATTCCATCTCTGGAACCTACATCTTGTATTACATCTCTGGTTGAAGGAGAGACTTCAACCTGAACCCTGCAAGTTGTCCTCTGATCTACACATGTGCTGAGGTGCACACTCACACATGTGTGCACACACATATACACAGACAAACAAATAAATAAGAAAACGATTCAATAAATGTAATTTTAAATTTAATTTTTATTACTTTGGAAAGGAAATATTATCTTAAAATTGGTTATCTGCTAGAAAATAAGTTTTTCAGTCAGGTAATGGAATACGGTTTATCCAAGGTCCTTGTAGCCCCGGAGCAATGTGAGAAGGTTCAAAAAGTAATGATGGTTTGTGCTCATCTTGAATCCCACAGAAAATAGTGCAGATATAGCTACACTATAAATGCATTGCTATCCAAAGATTTTCTGAGTCTTTATTTTATTATCTTGTTTCTCCTCAATTATATAATAATATGTGTTGACTGTGAAGTTAAATGCCAAAGTATACACCTTTTGTAAATGTTAATTTATTAGCATGTCCTTCACTTACCCTGTTACTTACAGATAATCACTCTCAACAGTTTAGGATGTTTCATATTTTTAATTGTCTGCATGTTATGTGATGATTAAATGTAAATAAGAACAGATACTTAAAAAATAAAAATGCATCAAAATTTTTAACAACAGTGCCAAACTCTATTAGTTCTACAACACAATCCTTATTACAACAGATGTAGGAAACATTCAAACCTTTTTTAATCAAGTTATTTTTAGTCTAATATATATGTACTATATTTAAATCACTTATTCCCACCTGCTCCATCTTATCCCTCTGACCCCTTCCATATCTACCTCCAGCCCCTGATCTCTCTCCAATTCACGACCTCCTTTTCTTTGATTATTAATATTATCATATGTAATATGAACAAATGTACAAACACAACCCATTAAGTCCATGTAGTGTTGCTGTAGGTATATGTTTTTAAGATTGACTACTTGGTATTAAATAACCAGTAAGGGGACCCAACCCTGGGGAAGACTAATTCTCCCTCTCTCAGTGGCCATTAATTTTTGCAGCTCTTCATGCAAGGATAGACCCCCATGAGGTTTTCCCACACACACATTGACATTTTAACTGATGTTGTCACTGTTAAGGTCTTAAACAAGGCAGCCATAATGTTGAAATTTCATGGATACAACTTCCCTGTTGTATATAGAAGAAGACACTATCTCACAGCAGATGTCCTGTGTCAGGGTCCAGCCTCAGGTAGGGTTCAGGTCCTCAGGTGGGAAAGGGGCATCAGCACAAGGAAAATTTCTGACCACCAAGTGGATTGCACTTAAATAGCCCCAAATAACTCAGGCCATCTTTATTTTTACTTAAACAGAGTTTTTCTTACCAGGATTACACGAACAGCTTCATTATTGGCTGTTTTTTGTTGTTGTTGTTGTTTTTTTTTTTTTTTGCAGCTAGTGAAAACCTGTGCATGGAGTAATGCTTTTTTTTTCTTTTTTTTTATATTTTATTTTCCAGTTTAAATTTAGATAAGAAACGAAGTTGCTTCACAAGTCAGTTCCAGGTCCCTCTCCCGTTCCCTCCCCTCCTCCTGTACCCTCCCCCCAACCCCCCCCCCCCGTTATCCCCTCATTGCCCCAGGGAGGGTGAGGCCCTCCATGGGGGTGTCCATAGTCTGTCATTTCATATAGGGCAGGGCCTAGACCCTTCCCCAAGAGTTCAGGGTGAGAGTGCACCTCACATTGTTCTATGGGAGTCCAAAGTCCGTGTGTATACTTGGGATGGGTACTGATCTGCTGCCCAAGGCTCAATAGATTACCTAGGCCTCCTCACTTTTGACTTTAATAAATACATTAGTTTAAGGAATACACAATGATCATTATGAAAGTCCCCGTGGCCCCCCTTTATGTTTCCCCAATACACCTTCCCATCCCCTGCATAACCTTATTCTAGACATTGAGTTCAACATGTTTGGAGGCCGTAACTAAATATCGAGTCAGACACATCCTGCTCTGCATCATTTATGTCAGCTGGCAGCTGATTGTGGTCACGAAGTGAAAAAGTAATAGAAATGGGATCAATGCTTAAGGACAGCAATGTTTCATGTCTGCAAGATAGAGTTTTATACAGTTCCCTTTTCTAAAAGAGGATCCCATATCTCATTCTGTCTGTAAAAGGCAGAACAAGCTCTCTTTTCCCATCTCACTAAACCACCAGTGTTAGCTCCTGTGTATGGAAAGGATGGATCTCTCCATCTCTTATTTCACATTGCATTTCTCCCATCAGAATATACTAGAACTTATCATTGATTCTGTATGATTGGTGTCCAGGGAACTTATTCTCAACAGTTGACACTTTGTATTCCTGAGGCCTTCTCCCTACTCTGTGTGTGCAAGCCTTACTCTCCTTTCCAGAGCTGTAAGACATGGTTAATGTTCCAAGTGTTGTTCTTTCATCTGTATCTAACTATCTCTATTGAGTCAGAAAAGCTTCCAAGATTAGGAGTTGTAGTTAGTAATTCCAGGTGAGAGATTTGAGAAACATTAGCCCCCTGTTAAATCTTAGGGGGAAATATTCGTGAAAGAACAGGATTTCCAGGGAAAATTACAGCTGTTGTATGTGTGACTGACAAAGTAAAACTAAAAACTGGCCAAAGAATCACCAATGTAGTGAGAGAGAAAAGAACCTTCAAGCTGCATGACTTTTGCAAATTTTTATGCTGTCCTCTGGACTATTGGTCCTTGCCAACTGAGAGTCTGTTTCCACAGGCACCTTGCCCCAAGGGAACCCATTAAATAGGTAGTCATGCTGATCTGAGACTAGGTTGCAGGCTTCCAAGAGTCCTGGTCTTCAGACTCATTCTACTCCCTCTTCCATGATGCTCACTGAGCCTTACGTATAGAAGTAGTGTTATATCATGGATCAACTCCTCATAGTTATTCTTTGCATTTTGATGAGTTGTGGCTTTCTGTGTGGTCTCTGTCTGTTAGCTGCAGGAAGGTTGTCTCAGAATATGACTCATTAACCAGCTGCACCCATGGCACCTGGAATTCGCAGATTATTGCCTGACCCCAGAGAGAAAGAACATGACTCTTGTGGCAGGGGGTGGTTACCCATGTGTTTCAACACTCTTCAGGGGGTTACAATATGCAGCAGTGTGTCTATGACAGCACTCTGAAGTAGGCTCTCTGGTACCACAGGCTCATTCTAGCGGCCAGGATGGATTAGTAGGACATACCATAGTAAGTTAAGGACCAGTTGTCTTCTCTGCTGAGGGAAAGGGAATGGAGAGAAGATGGTCTCTGATCCTTTTCTGTGGTGAGAGATATAGCCACACAGATCTTCAGAATCCAGAAGATAAATTTTTCTAAATTTTTGTTTGTTTGTTTTTTGCTTGCTGATTTCAGATCCAAAGCCTTCAGCAGACACGGAGCTGTATGGTAGAGCTGAACAGTTGTGCAGGGCTTTCTCTGCCCTTGTGGATCAAATCACCTTACCCAGCGTGGAGTGAAAAGTAATCCAACTAAAAACCCACTTGGTGTGATGGCAAAACCTTTATTCAAAATCTGAATTTGAAAGAATGAAGCTTTCAGTGTCTCTCTCTAAATGGTTGCTATAAGGGTGTGAACTCTGGTTTTTGGTTATTTTCTTTAACCTCCCTACTCGTGTGTGTTAGTTCTTCAATGTACAGTTAAGTTTTGAGGGCAAAGAAGTGGAGAGGAGAGAAACGAGATCACACACAGCAGCAGCAGATCAAATCCATGTAGCTGAATTTCCATTAGATGGCCACCCTATACATTTTGGCAGTAACACTCAGTTGTGTGATCTACATGAATGTAAAAAACAGCCTTCAAGTGTCATTTGTAAAACTGAATCAATGGCCCAGTTTTCTGTCTGATGTTCCTGTTAAACATCAGGTTTAGCAAAGAACCCACAGCACACACACTTGAATGCATATAAAACTGGTGAAATCCATTTGAAATCTGAATTGCATCATTGTCAATTTTCTAGTTGTAGTGTAGTTATGAAATGTTCATATTTTGAGAAATTGAACAAAAGATACATCAGTGTCTCTGTACCATCCCTTACAATCATATATAAATCAACAAGAAGCTCAATTAAAAAAAGTTTCTTAAAAAAAAAACTCTGATGGGTTTTACCAAAGTTCTTATGTGGGTCCTTTCCCCTGGGTTAAATTGTTTCAGTTGATGTTGCTATTGATATCTAGAATAATATATAACATCCTTTTATCATTAGAACACATAGTTTCTAAGTATCTTATTGCATTAACATATTTAATTCTGACTGAAGGAGTCTTTAGCTTCTTTTATAGGAAAAAAGAAGGCATGAAGAGATCAAACAACTGCAAAGTCATTCAGCCAGCACATTGTGCCAGATTCGAACCCTGTGTCTGATTCTTTGTTTTCCACTAGTCTCTTATTTCTCTCAATAAATATTGCTGTGACTCCAATGCTTTGCTCTTCAGTCCTTGTAACAGAAATAGTAATCAATCATTCCTAGGATTGAATCCTACAAAGTAAAATAAGGCCCAGGCATGTTTAGGACTATGTTTTCTCCCAATCAATAATCCCAACATTTAAAATTTATTTAAATCGAATCCCAATGTTAAAATTCTTCTTTTAAATCAATCATAATTTAGTTAGGTTTTGTCACTTATTATAGTCACTTTCCTAGTGAGAAATACCCTTGAATGCATTGGCACAGGAAACCATTTCCTGAAAATAACACCAGTAGCACAGACACTGAGATTGGCAATTAATAAATGGGACCTCCTGAAACTGAGAAGCTTCTGTAAAGCAAAGGACACAGTCAGCAAGACAAAATGGCAGCCCACAGAATGGGAAAAGATCTGCACCAACCCCACATCTGATAGAGGGCTGATATCCAAAATATACAAAGAACTCAATAAATTAGTCACCAAAACACCAAATAATCCAGTGTAAAAATGGGGTATAGAACTAAGTAGAGACTTCTCAATAGAGGAATTTCAAATGGCCAAAAGGCACTTAAGAGAGTGCTCAACATCCCTAGCCATCAGGGAAATGAAATGCAAATCAAAACAATTCTGAGAAACCATTTTACTCCTGTCAGAATGGCTAAAATCAAAAACACCAATGACAGTTTATTCTGGAAAGGATGTGGAGAAAGGTGAACTGATGCTGCAATGATAAATGGCACACTTATTGAAAGTATAAGTAAGTATTTATTGTAGAAATTACTCACAGGAGAAAAACAAGCAACCCAGATGAGCCAAGTATTTTTCGTCACTGAACTGGAAGCTGGAAAGAGAGTGAGACAATCTGCTGATTAGTCTTTTATTCCTTCCTCCATACACGCCCCTAGCCATGCCCAAAAGTGGGCCTGGCTAGTGACGTAGTTCACCTCCTATGTCCATATATGTCTTTAGTCATGCCTAAAGCGGGTGTGGTTAGCGGTGTGGTAAACTGCCCTTTTATTATTACCTCATCTGTATGTGCCTCTAATAAGTCACATGGCCAATGGCGGAGCATCAAATTTCACCCTACAATTCCCCTTTTAGTCTAAAAAGGATATTTAAACTTAAAACAACTAACTTGTGTCGATGAACAAAATGTATCAAACATCTATCCCATCTAAACCTAAACTTATCTGAAAGAAACACCCAAGTCTGAACACCTCTTTCCAATCCCAACTCTAAAATAATTGAAAACTAACACTAACAGGTGTAAACTATCCTATAATATCAATAGGAGGAAGAGGGGGCATGGAATACTCAAAACTACTTCATGCTGAGATGAGACGATGACAATCTCATGGGGTCCTGTGAGAAGAAAAATGTTAGTATAACAAAATCTTCAGTAAATCAGACAGTCTCTGTTTGGCAGAAGATGCTTGATTGAAGTTCCTGACTGGAGTTCTATTGTTAATTGAAGCTCTTGTCTGAATCTCTGGCCATATTGTAGAATACGTGCTGTTTCAGTTTCTTGGTCTGGAGTTGTGTCGAGTGATGTAGTTCCAATTTTCAGGATGTGCTTGTCAGGTGGAGTCGATGATATGGGACAGTTCAGATACATCCAGTCGAATCATGTGAAGTCAAGGAAGTAGATCCTCATTCTCTTTCTAAAGCAGTTGAAGATTGCTGTCAGGAAATCCCTTGTTCTCTGGAAAACTCAAACATTAATGTTAACAAAGAAATATTTTAACTTTTATATGTATGCATACTGGGAAAGGTGACAATATGGAAGATGGTAAACATGAAGGAGATTAGACTTTTCAGACAAAGAAATCCACAGATAACAGTCCCTAATTTTATTTTCTTCTGTCTTATATCAATGGCTCTTTGATATAATACAGAAATTCTGAATTTTATTTAAATAATATGCTTGAATTTAGAGTAGGAGAGCCAATCCAACTCCAAAGCCAGCTTCAGTTAATTGAATGGGGACTGAAGTATATGAAGAAACAAAGATAAAAGGGTATTATAAAAAATAGAGAGATTTAGACTTTGATACCACACAGTGAGTTACTGTTTGTTTGATGATCCTCAGGGTAGCTATTCATTCTTCTTCAGGAATCCATACGTCCAGTATTCTTTGCCGAGTTTACCTGTGAAGACAAAAAACAAAACACTTCTGTTTCCTTTTATGAGGTCACTTTACCTATGGTAGAATATGATTTTGTAGATGAGCTGTTATCTTTCCATCTCCTGAGATGTCTTCTGTTTTGATCGAATCTTAATTAATTTTGATAGAACCCAAAGTTTTTCTTCTCCTGTGGAAACAAAAGCAAAACCCCTTCCCCAATGTAACACATATCCTGGTTTCCAGATTGAGGTCATAACATCCTTAAAATACACTGGTTGGGTCAGTTCAGAAGTCTTCTCTGTAGTCCAGTGTCTTTCTGCTTCAGTTTGTCCTTTTTCATCAGCATTAAGAAAATTCAACGTTAGTAAAGCATTATGTAACCTGTGTTTGGGGGTCTTTGTTCCCCCTGGCTGTTTATGAAACATCTCTTTTAAGGTTCGGTTAGATCTTTCAACCACTACTTGTCCTGTGGAATTGTAAGGTATACCAGTTACATGTTTTATATTATAATATTTGAAAAATTGTTCCAATTTACTGGAGACATATGCTGGAGCATTGTCAGTTTTTATCTTTTTAGGTATACCCATAACAGCCATTACCTCTAAGAGGTGTGTAATAACAGAATCAGCTTTTGCAGAGCTGAGGGCAGTAGCCTATTGGAAGCCTGATAACGTGTCTATGGTATGGTGTACATATTTCAAATTGCCAAATTCTGGGAAGTGAAATACATCCATTTGCAAAAGGTCATTTCTGTGAATACCTTTACGATTACAACCTGCTGGTCATGGAGTTTGATTGTAGAATGAGAAAGTGGGGCAATTTCTTACTATTTCTTTGGCTTGTTGCCAGGTGATATAAAAATCCTTCTTTAAACCTTTGCTGTTAACATGGTGTTTCTTATGCAATTACTTCCAATACAGTACCTATTAATAAATGATCAATTTCATCATTGCCTTGTGCCAGAGGACCTGGCAGACCTGTATGGGATCTGATGTGTGATATATATATATATATATATGTATATATATATATATGATGAGTCCTGTTTCTGATGGTTTCCTGTAATTGTAAAAACAATGAGATTAATTCTGTGTCATCAGGAACAAATTCTGCAGTCTCAATGTGCAAGACAACTCTCTCTGCATACTGAGAATCCGTGACTATATTGAGAGGCTCTGTAAAGTCTTTAAGTACCATGAGAATGGCATATAACTCTGCCTTTTGTACAGAGTTGTAAGGGCTTTGAACTACTTTACTTATATTTCCTGATTTATGCCCTGCCTTACCTGATTTGTTGCATCCGTGTAGAAGGTAAGAACTCCACAAATAGGTGTTTGCCTCATGATACTCGGAAGAATCCAAATTGTTTTCTTTATGAATTTGATTCTCTCTGTTTTGGGATAGTTGTTACTAATAGTTCCCAAAAAGTCACTGCAAGCTATTTGCCAATACTCATTATCCTTCCATAAGGAGGAAATTTCCTCATTAGTTAAAGGTACAATAATTTCAGCTGGATCTTTCCCAGTCAGTTGACAAAGCCTTAACTTACCTGGTGGGAGTGCAAACTTGTACAGCCACTTTGGAAATCAGTATGGCGGTTCCTCAGAAAAAATGGGAATCAGTCTACCTCAAGATCCAGCAATTCCACACTTAGACATATACCCAAAGGATGCACATTCATACCACAAGGATATCTGTTCAACTATGTTCATAGCAGCATTATTTGTAATAGGCAGAACCTGGAAGCAACCTAGATGCTCCTCACCTGAAGAATGGATAAAGAAAATGTGGTACATTTACACAATTGAGTAATACTCAGCAGAAAAACAAAAAATGGCATCTTGAAATTTGCAGGCAAGTAGATGAAACTAAACAAAACCATCTTGAGTGAGGTAACCCAGACACAGAAAGAAAAACATGGAATATACTCACTCATAAGTGGATATTAGATATAGAACAAAGGATAGCCAGCCAACAATCCACAACCCCAGAGAAGCTAGGAAACAAGGAGGACCCTATGAGAGACATACATGAACCCCCCAAGAAGGCGACAGGGACAAGGTAGGTTTTCTGAGTAAATTGGGAGCGTGGGAGGAAGGGAAGGGAGGTAAAAGAGAGGAGAAAGGGAGGGGGAAGGAGAACGTGAGGGATCAGGAAGGTTGAGTTGGGGGAAGAACAGAGAAGGAGAGCTTGGAAAGAGATACCTTAATAGAGGGAGCTGTTATGGGCTTAACGAGAAACCTGACACCTGGGAAATCTCCAGGAATCCACAAGGATGACCGCAACTAAGAACCTAAGCAATAGAGGAGAGACTACCTTAAATGTCATCATAGAGCCTTCATCCAGTAACTGATGGAAGCAGAAGCAGAGATTCACAGCTAAGCACTAAGCTGAACTTCTGGAATCCAGTTGTAGAGAGGGAGGAGTGTCCAGACTGACATCTGGGGAACCAGCATAAGACAGAACCAGGACCCCTGAACATGGGTGTCAGTTGGGGGGCCCGGGAAGTCTATGGGGCCACTGGCAGTGGAACCAGTCTTTATCCCTTGTGCATGAACTGACTTTGGGAGCCCATTCCCTATTGAGGGATACTCTCCCAGCCTAGATACACAGGGGATGGCCTAGGTCCTGTCCCAAATGATGTTACAGACTTTTATGATCCCCCATGGAAGGCCTCACCTTCCCTGAAGAGTGGATGGGGTGGTGGGATAGGGGGTTGGTGGGGGCAATGGAAGGATGGGACGGAAAGGGAATTGGGATTGGTATGTAAAATAAGATCATTTTTAATTTAAATAAAAATTAATTAAAAAGGAAAAAATAATAAGCATTTTCCTTCATGAATCATCCCAGAGTCTTCCTTACAAACTGGAGAAGCACATGCCACAACTTAGGTCCACAGTTTATAGCTGTCATTGCCTGTTTTGTACAGGCTGTCAAAAGACTATTCTGTGACACCTGAAAGTTGTATGGATTCAAATTTCAATGTCCACATTAGCAACTCTGCTGTTTTGAACACTGAGCTGCAATCCTGCTGTTTTGAACACCAGTTGCTGTTTCCTCCAGTTCTGCCTAGATAGATGCCTTTACAGCAAAAGGCCCACAGAACCAGTAACCCTCATGTCCTGACACTTAATGAAAAAGAAACATCAATCTCACTTAGGGTTTCTGTTGCTATGAAGAGACACCATGGCCATGGCAACTCTTGTGAAGGAAAGCATTCATATGTGTTGGCTTATAGTTTCAGAGGTTTAGTTCATTATCATCGTGGTGGAAAGCATGATGGTGTGCAGGCAGACATGATACCATGATGAGGAAGGAACAGAAGGCAGGGCCCTTCTCCAAGAGTCATGTTCCTTCGGTAGTTTTTAAGAGGTAATGGTCTTTTCAAAACATTTTAACAAATTTGATGAAACACCTTAGAGAAAACAGGATAGATGCAAAGAATGAGCCTGTGTATAAACGTAGTCAGAGTGATAGCTTTTTTGTTTGTTTGTTTTTTTACGAGACAGGGTTTCTCTGTATTGTTTTGGAGGCTGTCTGTCCAGCCTGGCCTCGAACTCACAGAGATCCGCCTGCTTCTGCCTCCTGAGTGCTAGTGGTAGCTTTTTAATGTTCCCATTCCCCCAGTCAACCAAAACCTAAGGCTATAGCATCTCCCCTGCCACCCACCACCATGGCATCTCCCCTACCACCACAACCAGCTGATTGCATCCCATGATGTTAGGGCCCAGCTAATCCTCCGATGAAACTGCATCTGCTGATAAACTTAGACAACTTCTCTAGCATGAGGAGTGCCCCCAATCTGTAACACTTTACCTGAGGCTGATCTGAAATTCAAACTCTTTGTGAAGCACGTGTTTTAAGAGAAACATTACAAATATGGAAATAATATGAGATAAAAATAGTGTCACGTCTAGGGCTCACATGCAGTAGTTAGTGGGGCTTCTCTGTGACAGACCTCATTCAGGCCGATCATTTTCAGAGGAAAAAGTACTGGCAGGTTCTTCTTATATCACATTCACTTTCATTTTAGTTTGCTTTTCAGTGCCAAGTGTAACCACTTATAGCACTTTAATATTTAATCAAACAGCAAATACATAATTGAAAGATAATTACGCTATCTTATTAGAGTTTGGACACAGTTTGTGCTAATATTGAAGACTTAAATGAAGAGAATCCAATAACACCAGTTGGGAGCCAAAGCTTTTATTAATTTTGTTTTCATTGGATGAATGTTTTATTCCCCATGGTTTCTTCTTCATTCCATATTCAAAACTATTCTCTGAGACAAGGGTGAGAATCACAGACCATCAGTGATACCATCCATGCATACAGTCCTTTCACACTAATTTTATAAGCAATACTGTGGCTAATTACTGGTGATGCATGTAGCTTATGGAAGCTAAATGTATGGCCCTCTAGTGCATCAGCAATGCCAGGTCTCCCGAGGCAAATTATCAAATAACTCTAAAGAACCAAAGCCCTCATCCCCAAGTCATCTTTGAAGTTCTTTAGTTACTGTAGACAGTGGGTTGGTCAGATGGTAATCACGGTATGAACACAGCGGTTAACAATCAGGAAACTGAAAACACGCACTCTTAGAGAACTGGCATGATATTCACCTATGGACATTTACTTCACTTCAAATACACAAATGATTGATGGGAAAATACTCTTTTTTTTATTCCAAGGCTCGAGTTAGCTCTGAAGGTAGCTTTATTTTCTCTTTCCTGGCAGCTTCACTTTTCCAGTGAACCTAGAGCCCCGCTGGTGCATGTGCATGTTTATCAGATCTTCAATCAATTCTTTCTTCTTCAAGAAAGGGGTTCTTAGGAGTTGAGAATATGCATCTGAAAGTACAGAAAAGGAACTTCATAAGGTCACTAAATTACACTTACTTTAGTTGTTATTAAAAGAAAAAAATTGATGTTTTTGCTACTCCAATTTCACAATTCTGCATATAGTTATAACAAGTATGTAAACTCGTATTTTCAGTGTTTTCTGTCCTGTGGATTTTACTAATATAGCCTAAGTTAAATAAATTACTATCACCTATAATATTTGTCAATTAAAATAGTATATTATTTTTAAATTTTAAAGAGTCATTATATCATGTTTAATATAGAGACATAAAGCATTTCAAGCCTTCAATAACACAACCTTTCAGAGATAGTGTTGTCTTCATTCAGTGCTTACTTTGTGATTTCTTTAACTCTTATCCTATTGTGGACATTTGGATTATCTCCATGTTTTTTGATAAAGAATATTGGAATGGAGAGTTTTGTCCCACACCATTGGTTACACCTTGAGACACTTCCTGACAATCAAGGTACGGATGACTACTTGTTGGGTATGTGGCTGAGGAAACTTCCTAGAGTAAAGCAGATAACTGAACATTTATGGATCTATTCATGTTGCTGAAGCAGTGTTTTCTGTGTTTAGTGTTTAAAAATAAGAACTATGAACATTTACTAGACACCTATCACAAACATCATCAGATTATAAATCTAAAATTTAAATGTTCTCATCACAACCCCTCCCAAAAAAGTCACAACTGTTCCAGAACATACAAACTGTCAGCCCCAGGAATGCATGCAGATTATTCCCCACCCCCATCATCCTTAGTGCCAAAACCAAATCTGCTGAAGAAAGAGGGTATCATTTTTACAAAGATACTACTATGCCTCAAAATCTATTTATCTCCAGAGAAATCTTCACATCCTTATGAGTGAACCTGAAGTCTGCTATTTCAGCTTTGGCAATTATCAGTGTACTATCCTAAATAAGTCTCTCGCTCTTGCCCTCCCCCTCTATCTTGCTCTCCCTCTTCCTCTCTCTACCCCTCCCTCTCATGTCCTCCCTCTTGCTACCCCTTCTTTCTGAATCTCCCACTCTCTATTCCCTTCTCTTCTCCCGTTTCTCCCTGCTCTCCTTCTCTCTCCCCTCTTCCCCTCACTTTCCATCTCTTCTCTTCCTCTTGACCCCCCCTTTCCAGAGTCATACCCCATCAGAAGTTAGAGGTTAAAGATATATATCGTATTTCGAACTTCCTTAAGGTGAATGTATTAGTCAGTATCCAATTATTATTAGTTAGCGTCTTTCTAGATTAAAAGTAATCTTTGGAATCTTTACTCGTAACGTCATATTCAGCTCTCAGAATTTTTAGAGTTCTCATTTCTGGCTTCTTCTGTCCCTGCGTATCATTGTTATGAACAATCATGGTGTCCGGGTCACTATTCAGCTCGGTCACCTGTTCTTGGGGTAAAGCTTTTCCAGTGTCTCCAGAATTAGTAAGGGCTTTTCATAGACTCACAGAACATTCAAATCCAGAGAACACAGAGAGACTTTGAGATCCATCTAATTCTTGCCATATCCTCCTTTTTTCTAATGAAAAGAATAAGAACTAAATATCTATTTCATGTCTCTTGTTTTTGGATTTGTTGATGCAATATTAACAAAGGTGATATACTACAAACAGTATCTCATGGATCACATATTTTAGCAAAACACAATTCATAGGAAGATTTCATAAATGGATGTAAAGTAAATTGTTGTAAAGGCATAAGAACAAGAACCCTTTTGTATACTAGATATTTAGTAATTTTAGCTGCAGTCTTCTGCCCTAATGTGATGATTTCCCTAAGAACTATGGAAACAAACACCTTTCTGCCCCCACCTTCATTCCAACTTCATAGCACTCCATCCCCAGGAACAAAAGCAAAATTCACTAGAGGTACATCCAGAGCCCGCTTGAACCACTAGAGATTGAATGAAGCTTCTTGAAAGGAAATCACAGTGTTCCTGTGACTATTTAACTTTCAACATGTATCTCCTTGACCCAAGACCCCATCCTACTGTGATTAGATCAACCAAATGGAAAATCTCATTTCCTGATCTTCAAACAATTGCTTGTGCAAAACATTAAAATAACCTTAATAAAAGGAGCTCTTTGCAGATCAAATTCTCCTAAAATTTGTAGATAAGCTGAGTCCATTTCATCTCTCGGATGAAGAGCAGAAAATGACTTCCAGAGCTGAAGTTTTAGAGGCATTGTTTTTTTCATGCTCGGCTGAACACAATAATATTTCCTTCGTGTTTTTTGTAGACATTTGTCATAATTACAGAAAGTGAAGGTGGGATTTGAAAACACAATGTTGACATGAGTGGAGCAGCTAACTCTGATGGGAATAGATGAAGCCTTACACCACCATCAGGGGGCTTCAGAAAAAGAAAATATAGGGTCCTTAATAATTAATGCTGATGCCTGGGCAGCTTTGGCTAAAGGTGTTTTTAAAATACTGGTAATCAACCTTTAAAGATGGCCATCATCTGTTTTTACTTCAGTAGCATATCTGCCAAGAGCACATTTCATCTGAAAAGTAAAACTGGAGGAAGTTATTGCTACACCTACTTATATAAATAGTAGGAGAGAATTGTCTGGCTTCTTAGCTCAGTGACTCATGAAGGATTTTTAGTTACCGAGGTTAAAACAAACTACGCAATTTAGAAGCACCCTGTAAAATCTTAGGAGAAGGTGGCTGTGGCACTGTTATTGACAGTTGTTTCTTCAACTGAGCCATTTTAGAGATATAAAACAATACTCACAATTAAATATTCCCCAATAAAGCTCAGTTATGCCTTGATTTTCACAAGTGCACAAATAATTCTAACTACCCCTAAACAGCCCTTGCTATAGATTTGGAATTTACTGATAGAAAGGACACCCAAGAAGGAAGGAAAACTGTATGGTTAAGGCTCTGGTGTTTCTTAACTTACAGGGGCTCACTCTCTCACACTCTAATTTTTATATGTAGCATTTCTTCTAGACCTCTAGAGAAGGCTATATTTGAATTAGTATATGGTATTCACTGCAGTGAAAAAGTCCCCCAACTTTCAAGAAGCTACCTTATTAAAAAGTAATTACTTAGTGGAAGTTAATGGCTTATTTGTGATTCATCCAAACATCAACAAGGAATAAATATAGATTTGTTGATATTTTCGCTCTTAACATCACCAGTTAAGTATCTCTCAAGATGCTCCTTCATTTGCATGAAAGTTATGTTTTTGTTTTCACTTTAAAAAGGGCAAGAATTCCCATGCTACAAATATTTCCCTATCCCCAGTTCCTATTCATATCTTACTATTTCCACACCAAGGAAACATCAAGTTATATTCAAGTTAGCAATAAGTGATAAATGACAGTCTTCGTTTTGGGGCAAGACTTTACATTGCAATTGCTAGTCTGTCATTTGAACTCTTTTGACATCCACCCCTTTAAAGGACTATATATGATAAAGTCTTCTTCTAGGGTCACTCCCCCTTTCCTCATACATTAGCAGGTCACACTTGATAGACAAATTCAACAGGCCAGAGCCATGCACCTTGTGTAATCCCAGAATGCATCACTGTTGAGCTTTTCTCTTCTTTCTTTCCCTCTCCAGCCAATTCCCTCCTTCCTAAGCCATGGTTCCTGGAAAGGACACAGTCTACATAGATGTCCCAGAAGAGTTGGGCCAGATCCCAAAACAGTGCCCCATGCTTCAAGTTCTCAGATGACTTCAGGTAGATCATAAAATCCCAAAAGCCAGAAACAGTGTTAGAAACACGAGGCTTCCGCATTTCCAAGAGGAGCATTGAGGAGGACTCCCAGCACTGGGGATCAGCTTGGTTAAGAGTCAACAGGTCTGTCTGGCTGTGACAGAGCAAAGGAGACACACAGCACATTCCCACAATGAGCAGGGAGCAGATGAGACTCAAGGGGCAGTGGATCCCTCTTCTGATCCCAGGATCAGCCATGGTCCTGCAACTGTACACATGCAAACACATCAGTCCAGGCTTGTTTTCTACTCCATAAGAGAAATGAGTGTTCCCTTGAGAATCTCAGTCCAGGAGAAGAACCATACCACCATTACTAATTAGGAAGAGACTTACCCTTCTCAAGTCACAGGCCTTGTTCTCTCTAGATGACCCATTCCCAATTCAGGTTGTATACAACCAAGACAACTAGGCTAAGAATTCCCAAGTTGTGTTCCTTGTGAGATAAATGGTTAAGTGAAACTGTTTACCCCGGAATGTAGCTTAGAAGAATACTACATGAAAATTAAAATTCTGCCACATTACTTTATCTTAAAACTAGCCTTTTAAACACAAAACTCCACTACAGTTAAGAATTTTATATTTTTGTCCTTGTATGCTTTTGTGTTCATAGTAGCGTTTAATTATTAAAAGTGTTAGACTTATAATTCATTATAATAGAAATAAATTCACAATTGCTGCTTAACTTCTGGATAAGTGTACTTTGAAACTGGAGGACAAAGTAAAACTGATAAACACTTTGCAAGTCTAGATGCTATGCAATCCTGATATGACTTTAATAAGGAAAATGCTTTGCAATCTCTCTCTGCCTAAAATGAATCTCAAGGATTTAAAGGAAAGTGGTTTGTCTCTCCCTCAACTTTCTTAGCTCTCAATGTCTATTGTAATAAAATCATCTGAACAATCACATGTCACCTCTAACTGGCTCTTGTTTTTCCACTTCAGACAAGTGCAATGAGAAATTACAACCTTGAGATTATAGAAATCATAATTTCTCCCAAATTAAGTAAACCAGTTATTCCCCAAGTATACAAAATGTTAAGCAATTCATCATAAAGAAAGCAATACAGGAGGGACACACACACTGCTTACTTCCCTATTCCAATTAGTAACTATAACATCAGTAGGCAGGCTCTTTCTTTTCTGTTCAACAGTCAGACATACGGAGACACTGCTAAAGAAATATTTCAGAACCTGTGTTTGAACATACCAACTCTGGAAGGATCATGTTTGAAATAGCGGATCACTCAAAAAATAGTTTTATATCATTTGCATATTAGCTTTACTTGGTAAGATTGCATTTAATGAACTGAAATATCAAAGTCGCACCCAAAGGTTTTCGTTTTTTTCAAGTGTTGCAGCTTTGAGAGCCTCCAGAAGTTTTTGGCAGAGGGGGTGCTGTCCAGGGTGCTGACGTTAACATGGTCTGGGACTCGCGGGGGCTTGCGCTAATCTAGCTGATAAAGACTCTTCAGAAGGGGTCTCCATTTAGGCGGGTTTCCTAAGTAGGAGTCCTCTTGTTCACCCCGTTGAGAGCCCCAGTGCTGGCGAGTTTGGGCAAGGCATCTGCTCTCACTACTTCATCTTCCCAGGCAAAGCGTCAGGGTCAGGGGCTCGGCCCCCACTCACCTCCTTGCTCTGTGCCTCTGCTGTGGGTCTGTAGCGCTGCTCCGCGCTCACCTGCGTTGTCGGGATCCCTCGAGTGCGCAGAGAGGACGCAGTCAGGCTGCTCCCTAAGCAGGTGACCGTCCCCAGCTTCCGCGCCCTGAATGCCAGTGTGCCGCTTCTTAAGCAGTGGGAGTGTTCCGCTACGTCAAAGGACCTGCAAACTGCCACTGCCTCTCGCCCCCAAGTCCCGGTTCCCTTTTACAGAACTCTCCTTCCTCCTCCCTTCAGAGATGTTTGGAGTTCGAAACCTGGGGGGCTAGCTGCAGGCCCCCTCCCTAACCCGAGCCTACACCCACCTTTTTTTTGTGTGTGTGTCCTGTCTCCCAGGACCCACCTACCTGGAAAGTCACAGTGCTGTAAAGTTGGGGCTCAGCTTGATGCCTATCTGGGAGATAGTGGAGGCCCCCAACCAGGCTTCTCACTAGTGCCTTGACTGAGTTTCAAAGGGTTTGAGGGAAGGACTGCATGAGATCTTGGGATCGGGAGAAGAAACATGCACAAATTCCAGCCAGACTGTGGATTTCTCATACTCCACTGAGGTCCTGGACTGGAAGTATGGGAGGCTATGAACTTCTCTTCCTTGATCCAAGCTTGAGAGTCCTTACTGTTTTTAGCCTGGACTCCTGGGGGCATCCTTATTTCCCCCATCTAATTTATCCCCAGAATCCCTGCTCTCCAAAAAGAAACAGCAGCTTAGATGGATTTCCTTCTGCTTTGCCCTTCAGTTAATCAAGACCTTAATCCCAAAATGAAGTTCATCACTTCTCTAGGGCTTTGCTGGGCATGGGTGCCCACTTTAACAGAAATATTCCCAGCTAAGGGCCCTCAGATGTAGAGCCTTCCTTCCCACATCTTTCCTAAAAGTCCCCTGGCATGCCAAAACACTCTTATACTCTCTATTACCTGAAGGCTTTTGTGCCAACTTGACAGTATCCATGGTTACCTGGGGGCCTTACGGTGAGGTTTTTTGAAGCCTCAGAAAATCAGCCTCCTCCGGAGGTAAAATTAAGAAGAGCTCTGAAGAAGTCCAGAGGGGCTCTGAGTTTTTCCTTCTCTCAGCTGGACCGAATGTGCTTCAGTTTCTGTCTTTAAATTGGGCAGGCAATGCCTGCTTCTGTTTGCCTCCAAGTGAGTGTGGAGACGAGACCACATGCAAGGTCTTGCTTTCTGGATTTCAAGGATCCCACTTACTTTTAGACAGTCTTACCAGAAAAGTGAACATTTAGCGCTGCCTGTGAACAGATATAGAGAGATCCCATGGAGTCTAGCAAAGGGATCAGGCTCCTGCTATTTTTATTGTACTAGGCACAAGATGTTTTGGTGAACTGGATAGGAAAGCAAGTAAAAGACAGAGGTTAAAGTTAACACCAAGTTGGGGACTGGCTAGTAGAGGTTCGGAATTACCACTGGCTTAGAGGAAACATTTTGAAGAACAGATTTAGGAAAGTGTGGGGTTGGGTCTTGCATATATTAACGGTGAGTTGAGTGACACCCAATGTTAATCCTATGTAGGCAGAGACAGAGCAACTACAGAAAACATGTGAGGTGGCTAAGAAGCCTGGAGTTTGGATTTCATCAGATGGAGGCAATTGTTTAAACCATCAAAAACTGTGAAAAGTGGGTGAAGAGTAATAGCCTTAGGGGGAAAAAACCTTGGATAATGTCAATGGTTAAAATGACTGGGAAACAAAGAGCTTAGAAGAATCAGAACCATGTGTGGAATACTTGGGATCTGATAAAAGATTTTCACCAATTAGGAAGAAGTCAGTTGAATCACACAGATTCAGTAAAGGATACCATAAAATGAAGGAAAAGGAAGTTTCCCCTGGATCTAAGAAAATAGAAAGTCATTGATGAGAATATTAAGAGCAAATTCATCTCAGGGTCAGTGGAGTTGTGGTAGGCAGAGACAGGAATGGAAAATTAGGAACTGATGATAGCACCTGAGCCCTTCCCTATAGAAGAGAGAGAGAGAGAGAGAGAGAGAGAGAGAGAGAGAGAGAGAGAGAGAGAGAGAGAGAGAGAAGAGGATTAGAGTTTGGTCATATTCACAGCTGGGATAGAGAACCCAATAGAGAAGCAGGAAAGTGTGATTTTAAAATGTCAGAAGCAAGAAGCAAAAGGGTAAGAGAAAAAAGGAGTCCACACCTACAAGAAAGGTGGCCAGCTTGTCTTCTGAAACAGGAAATGAGAAAGGGTGCCTATGGACATGGATGCCATGGCTAGTAAGTATGGAGGGGAGAAGCAGCTGAAGAAGATGATAACTGATTGTCTCAATTTTCCTACTGAAGGTCAAAATAAGTCAAATGTTAGGCAGAGAGTCCAGATAGAGTAGCAAAGCTTTGGAGCAGCCATTGTAGGCAAGAGCAGGAAGAAGGACTGGGAGAAAAGACAGAGGTTAAGAATCAAAAGTAAAGACTCAGCTAATGCATGTGACCATGACTTTATAGTATATTACATCATACGCCGAATAGCTCTTATGAGGCAGAACAACAATTATTCTATAGATCCCAATTGCCTGGGTTTGATCTGTGTGTCTTTTGCTTGCCATAGCTCACCGATTCTTAAAAAAACTTTTTTGTAGCCGGGCATTGGTGGCGCACGCCTTTAATCCCAGCACTTGGGAGGCAGAGGCAGACGGATCTCTGTGAGTTCGAGGCCAGCCTGGTCTACAGAGCCAGTTCCAGGACAGCCTCCAAAACAACACAAGGAAATCCTGTCTCGAAAAACAAAAACAAAAAAACAAAAAAAAATTTTGTACGCTTAACATACTTGAGATCAGGCTGTATCTGTCAACTGACAGCACTCGGGCAATTAGATTTGCAGCACTTTTTTACTTTAAAAATAGCAAGGTGTCTATAATTGATGGTATCTTTGAACTGATGCCATGCTGTAAGAGATGTGATTAATCCCTATGATGAGACCATCCTCTTGTTTACAAAATGGACAAAAGTCTCCTTTATGGTTTCCTGAGCATAGAATGAAACTGCACACAGAAAACAGTTGGGAAGATGCTATATGTGGTAACAATTGTGACAAATATTTGGATTTTTCTGGTTCTCCCGAGGCATTCAATTGACTAGAACAAAATAGAATGGCCATTATGACATGAAATATGTCTTAAAATTTGGGGGGTAAGACACTAAAGAGTAATAAAGATACAAGGGACTCAGGCATGCAAGCAGGTTAGAAACAAAGAGGCAGGGTAAAGAGAAAAGACTGAGAAAATGAAGACATCTGGGGGTTTCACTGACGTGAGACAAGAGAAGAGAAGATATTGACAATCAGGTATAGAGAGATTAGAGACTCTGGCTAGGAAGGAGTGAAGGTAAAGGCTGCTACTGTTGCATTCCACTTGCATGTAAGTATGGAGATAGTTGAATGGCCATCCCAGCTTCCCAGACACTGAGGTTATGAGAAATTGCTCTCCCAACTACGTGACCCTAAGTAGTTCTTCTCAATGAAGTAAAGGGTCTCAAAAGTAAAAATTTTAAGACTGAGTGGTGACTACTCAGACGCTTCCTTTTCTTTTC